AGGATAAGCCAACAAGTTCAGAAACACTTAGGCGAGCCTGATTGATGGAGCAACCAGGCTGTCAGGGCGGCTTAACGAGAGCAGCCTGCAACTAAAGATAATAATTAGTGAGCGCGCCAAGAGCGCACGGGGCTGCAGGGGCTTCTGGCTGCAGGCCCAAAGACTCTTTATCCCATTCGCTTTGGGGCATGAACCCCACATTCCCGATGGGATCGGGAACACCGGAGCGCCGAACGGGCGCCCGGGGAAGCCTCCCGCTCCGCTCCCGCCTTTATAAATATGTATCCGCACGCGGAGCGAGCGTCTCGAGCCGATCAAAACGCAATCATTTCATTTGCCTCCCCGTCCAGGAGCGCTGTGCCGGACTAAATTGGCGCCGCCGGTTTACAAGGGCGGGCGCGAGCGCGCCAAATGGGCTCAGCGAAGTGAGGCCGAATTTCTGCTGCAATTACCCTGCTCTCCGACCGTGTGATTCCCTCCTCCTGCCGCACGGTCAGGCTCAGGCGCATCGCGGGACTCGGCGCTTTCACGGCCCAAAGCTTGGTACAGGTCGGCCCTGAGCTTGGCACCGCTTCATCCCTTGGTCTCCTCACCTTTTCCCCTCTCCCGTGGTCTTTTCCAGCTCCTTTAGAGCTTTTCCAAGGCTCTTTCCCACTTTTCTGAAAGGCCACTCCAAGATGTTATCCAAACTGCTGGAGTTTAGTGTGCAAAGCGCTTCCCTGGTTTATGTGCAAAAGGAGGGGGAAAAGCCGCTGTCGGAGGCAGCTGGAGGTGCTCCCGACCTCCCGCTCTGTTCCTCAGGGAAGGAACCCGGAGTGCTGGGAGGCTCCAGATGAATCCCGCGCTCTGCATCGCCACGACAGGGGCAGCGGCAGCTGCGAGGCCTCCACGCTGGAATTTTTTGGGGAAAAAAGACACAGAAAAGGCCCAAGTGAATCACGGTGACGTCGGTCATTGACGCTGATCCTGACGGGCATCGATCATTGGGGTGCTGCCGCTTTGGGCACCCCAGGGCCAGAGTYGGGGTGACGGTCGCAGGGCTGCGCRTTCATTCCCACTTAAATACCTTTGTGACGCTTAAGTGCCCCAATTAGCTCTCCCTTCATTAGGGCGCTGCAAATGCCAGTGAGCATCCGCATGGCCTCACCTCACTTGGCCTCCGGGAACAGGCGGAGGACATCGGATGCATCCGATCCGGCCTCGTCTCYGGAGCAGTCCCAGAGGGTTCCAAAGGGACGGGATGTTCCCAGAGGTTTCCAAGGGGAAGGGATGCGGCCACGGGGCCATTGAAGGCCCCTTTCCATCAAGGAAAGATTTGGAGCAGCGGAGGTAGCACCAGGTAGGAGACAACCCAACCTCATCCATGCTCCGGACTTTCCCCCTTCTTACATTGAGCTGCTTTTTTTCATCCAAATTTCCTATTTTTTGCCATTCCCCTTTAATCTCGCTTTCTATTAAAAGTCTTCCCAGAGCTAATGCAATAAATTTAGATCCAAAGCCAGATGCATAGCAAAACTTTTGGCAGAGAATACTCTATCAGAAGACATTGCGAATGAAATATGCTTTCCCCTTGGGGATTATTCTACAGTTTAATTTAATTTGATATTTCAAATTAAATTAATTCAAATGGTTATGCAGTTTCCAGGGAAAACAGACTTCATTTATGATGTTCTGCCACCAAATTGTTTTGCTCCTATCATATATCTTATATTGTTGAGTAGGGATGATAAGGAGTGACAAGGCAGGGCTTTTCGGGGCCCTTGTTTGACAACTGCTGTCCTAAAGGGAACCAAAACGTTTCCTTTGTCCTTCTCCGAAACGAAGCTCGGCTGCGAAGCAGATTTCCATCAAACTGTGATTTGAAGAGAGAATAATTTCCTTGCAATGAGAAGCTTTGGATGGGAGCTCCCCTCTCTGCCTGGTTCGGGGCTTGCGGATGAGGGAGGACCGCCGTGTTGGGGATGGACATCTTGGCTTCACGACATGGGYGCGAGAGACAGGTTGGGATTTTCCATCCAAATCCAGATTTTCCAGCCCAAATGCATCCAGTTTTCCAACCCAAAGCCACATTTTCCCCAGGACACAAGTGGGAAAACAGCACAGGGCTCCACAGGCGGCTCTTCAACTCACTGAAGACACACAGGGGCAAATACTGGCCGTATCACAAGAGGGTTTGGAAGAGGACATAAAACCGGTTTTAACTTGGCAGGCAGCCCAGAGCTGATATTTCCCATCCAAGCTGCTTGGGAGAAAGGAGCTGTGTTGAGCTGTCCAAAGCCACACACGCTCCCAAATTCTCCCTTTTTTTCCCATGTGGGTAAAGCCGCCCCTTTAGCAGGCGGTAAATCCTCCTGGTCCATCCCAGTGTGTCTTTATTTCCCATTCCAGCTTTCCCGGCGCGCGTCAGCATCGCAGCTTTGCGCTTCCCTTGGGTGTCCTGGTGCCCACGTGGACCTTTAGGGCTCGAATCCGGGCAGATCCCCCGGATCGCTGCTTTATCCGGCACGGGCAGCTCCGCTTTGCGGCCTCAACCAGCAAGAAAACATTATTATTAATATTAYTATGATGATGATGATTTTGCAAATGGATGCGTGTTCTCGCAGAGCCCAAATCCCAACGGTTGCGGTAGGACCCTCTGTTCCTGCCAGCTCGCGCAGGGCTGGGTGAGGAATTAGGGCGATTCCCGGCACAGCGCCGGCACCGTCGGCTCTCCCCATTCCTCCCTGTCTCATCCCGAAGGATCTACGGGACTCAAGGAGCTGCCTCTGGACCCAGGCCACGTCTCTCTGTGGGATGTTGCCCTCTAACGGCTGACGAGCGGGAAAACCAGGAGCCTCCGGCCCTGGCATCCCCRGACATCTCCCGTTCCCAGGACATTTCCCCGGCCCACGGAGCAGGAGACGCTTTGGGTGCCCTCACCCGGCGCCTCCCAAGTCTCCCTGGGCACCTTTCCCCGCTAATCCCCACTGGAAAGAGCCCAGGCCGCTTCCATGGAGCCCTTTCCGTGGAGCTCAGGGCATTGCCGGCGCTTCCCGCCGACGGCAGCTCCTCGCGGCTCCTCTTCCCTGCGCAAACATTTGCACTGGATCCTCCATCCCTAATGAGGAGGGTGAGTTACCCAAGCGCGCACATTTTTCCTAGGCGCTTTCATTTACCACTGTTTTAAATTATTTCCCAGCCTGTGACAGACAGAACCCAGGCAGGGAAAGGCGGAGAGGGAAAAAAAACCCTACTCGGCTCATTTTTCATATAATATATTCCAATCCTGTTAGGTCGTGCCGGTGAAGGTAATATTCCTGGCATTCATTTAATGAAGTTGACATTGATGAATGGCTAATTATACGAATTACATTCTTATTAAATCCCGGGGAATCGCAGCCTTGGAAAGCCTCRGCCGCGGAGTTCTCGTGCGAATCAGGCCCCGCGCAACGTTGCTGCTCATCCCCGCGGTGCCCCTTGGGCCTCCTCTCTCCTTGCCCTCCTCTTCCTCCCCGCACATCCGCCCGGGTCCGCGCGTTGCAGCCGCGTATCCCACCCGGACACTGCACATCCCACCCGGACACTCTTAGAGCTGCAAACGGAGGGATAATGACTCGTGGCCGTTAACGAGGGGCGCTAGCGAAGTGCAAACGATGCGCGCTAATTAGCTGCTTTACAACCGCGCATGGAAACAAACGGCACTTGAATGAATGGCCGGGTTTCACGTGGCATCAATACATTAATATCTCGCTAGGACAGGTGGRTTTGGTAAATTCATCATGCGTCCATAATAGAGCTAATGAAGCACCGCGCTAATTCCGGAGTAATTAGGCATGAGCGCCTGACGCTCGCTCCAAAGCGGAGCCCAACAGGTCGGGTCTAGCCGAAGGACTCGGGTCTATCCTAAGGACTCGGCTGCGGTCTTTATGCACCTCTCTGTAAGGAAAAGCTCCCRCCGGCTCCCAAAGGTACCCCACATCCCTGGGATTATCCGCCGGGAAGTCCTGCCTGGCGCCTGGAGCCGCTCCGATCTCCAAAGAAAGCACTTAATTGAGGATTCCCCTATTTGCTTTGATAGCTGCTGAACAAAATGTTGACACGAAACCCTTGGCTGCTCAGAGATTTCTCTTTTTTTCTCCTCCATGTGTAGTTAGGGCTTCAAAAAAGAGTTTAAATGCATTAGCAAATTATCTTGATTGCCCTCTTCATTTTTTCAGCAAACAAGCTCCTCACCTGGAACGCAGCGCGTGGCTCCAGGCAGGAGCGGAATTTCTTCCTGCAGATAAAGGGAAAGGGGATGAAAGTCCCCGTTACTTTTTTCTCATTTCAGCTGCAAAAGGTGATGTGCTTTTGTTGTGCTCATTTGCACGGAGGGAGAAGGAGCGGGAGCTCTGCAGAAAACCCCACGGCGTGAAGAGCGGTGGCGATATCCACCCCGCCACGTGCCCGTTTTCCTCTTAATGCGGATTTAGAAATGAACGGGCTTGGAGCTAGTAACGCCCCGTGTGTGTTGGGCTTTTTGCCCCTCTCTGGGGACCTAGGGTTGCTTTTCACAGCGTCTGCAAGGGGCAGGTCGTGAGCAGAAGCGTCTGCCCTCCCACCACCTAAATGTGGCTTTCGGAAGCGATTCGAGCTCCGTTTTGGGGACACGGGACCTCGCGACGCCTCCCTGGGTGGCTCCATTTCTAACAGGGTCCAGTTGCCACCTTCCCAAGGCAACATTGAGACCCTCGGATGAGGCTCGTGCCTCTAAGAGGGGGTGGGAAGAGGATTTCCATGGAGCAAACAGGCACCCCTGCAGCAAGGAGACGAGGGGAGCGAAGGCAAACCCGGARTTTGCATCAATACAGTGTTTTAAAAAGGGAATTTCAAGAGCCCGGCTGCTTCGGCTGCTCATATAGGGGCTTAATTGGTATATAATAGCATAGTTAATTAAATACGAATCAATAGTTTAAAGCAGCTAATTGATATTTAATATGTAGGGGAAAAAAAAATAACTCTGTTGTAATATAATTAACTCAATGCCGAGTAAGCAATGGAATTGCCATTAGGCCTTTACGGCGCCTGTAAAGTTTATAGTTCTTTAATAAACTTGCAATTAGCCGGGATGAGCTGCAAAATTATTAAACAGGTATTATTGGGCGCTTAAACATTTATTCTCGTTCCTGGTGGAAGGCAGCCGTGCAGGAGCACAATTAGGAGCGTGTTAATGAACCTTTGGTGCCCGCTGGCCTTTGCTCGAGCGGGCGCCTGGAGCCCTCGGACTTGCAGGAATATATATATAGCAGGTGGCTATATATATATATATATTTATATATGTATAAAAGCTCCTTGGAAATGACCCAGGCCATGGATTAGCTGTCAGAGAGGCTCGGGAGCAGCTCGTTTGAGCTACTGGAAGGCTGAAATAGAAGCTTGTCGTGCAGCGGGGTCACTGGCCCTGGAAGCTGGTCGGAAGGTGCAGGAAGGGAGCAGAGTATTTCAGGAGTTTCTTGGCATTGARTATCTGCATTTTCCGTTCCAAAAAATCTCTTAAAATCCCTTTTTTTTGATTTTCTCTCGGTGGCTCCAAGCGTGCGATAACAGATTCTGAAAAATGAGGATGGAAGTAAAACAGTGGCGTGACCCAGGGCAAGTTCTTGGTCTAATTTTCCACCCTGTAGACTGCATCACTTCCCGGCTCTGCTATTCCTGGGATGGGAGCCAGCCTTTGATATCTCCGAATCGTTTGTGCAATGGATTATTCCTCCCTCCCCTAGGAATTGTCAAGATTGCAAAGGGCACTGTGAAAAACACAGTTAGCGGGGGGGACGCAAAGAGAATAACAAGGCATTTTGGGGGGAAATAACCCAAATTTGGCCTTCGGGCTGTGTTTCGGTGGTGGAGCCTCACGGCCTCCCCGCTTCCCTCCGCAGGCCAGGCCGYGGCCTCGTCCTTCACGCAGCAGCCGCACGACCAGGTGGTGGTGGCCGGGCAGCCCGTGACGCTGCTCTGCGCCATCCCCGACTACACCGGCATCGTGCTCTGGATCAAGGATGGGCTCGCCCTCGGCGTCGGACGGGACCTCTCCAGTAAGTCCCTAGGCCTGCCTAAAAGCCGCGTTTGCTTTGAAAAGCCCCCCGATTTTTATTGGAAATCAGAATGGTTTCGTGTTGAGCTGGCCAGGGGTCTTCCAGCTGATGCAGACACCAATGATGAAGCTACAGGTGACAAATCCTCAACGCCACCTCACAGCTGATGGCACCTAGGGACACCCGGGTCTTTGGAAGGCCCCCAGCTCCTGGACACCAAGACCCCTTTGGCTCGGAAGGGCCTAGGGAGCCGTCACCCTTGGGTGCCCGTCCTCTACTGGGTGCCCTGTGCCCGCAGGTTATCCGCGCTACCTTGTGGTAGGAGACCACCTCTCCGGGGAGCATCACCTGAAGATCCTGCGAGCAGATCTGCAGGATGACGCCGTGTACGAGTGCCAGGCCATCCAGGCGGCCCTTCGCTCCCGGCCTGCCCGCCTCACGGTCCTCGGTAAGTCCCGTCCGCACGTCGGGGTCCTCGTGGTCCTCGTCCTCGAGGTCCTCGTCCTTGGGTCCTCATCTTTGAGGTCCTCATCCTTGGGATCCTCGTCCTTGGGGTCCTCGTCCTCCCGGCGAGTGGCTTGGGGACAAACTACCAGGTCGTGACTAGGTACTGCATCCTATCCGAGCTAATTAGTGGTAAGCAACTGAAGAAATTTAGTTAATTACAGAACTAGTTGCGGTTGACGTGGTGACACAGCTTCCAAGTGAGCGCTGTCATTCCCAGGGGATTTGCTTCGCCCACACCTCGTACCCACAAACTGGAGCCAAGCAGCCCAGCTTTGTTCCCTGGCCCYGCTGCTTTTCCTTGGATCCCTCCTGCTGCTCCGCCAGCCCTTTGCACATGCAAGGAGGCCGTGGCCCTTCCTGGCAGCTTTTCCCCATCCTTGGTGGCATCCACATCACCAGAAGCAGCTTTTTGGGAGAGCCACCAAGGCAAACGCTGCTCAGGGAGCCCGCTAACCCCTCAAGGAGCTGCTTCTCTCCACTTTTCCACATTTTTTCCTCTTTTTTTCCACTTTTTTCCCCTTCTTTTCCATGTTCCTTGTATTTTCCCACGTCCCCTCCACTTTTCCATGGCCCCGCTCGCCCTCCAGYACAAGCAGAGCTCCTCAGGGCTGTCCCCACGGAGGAGCCTCTTAATTCATGAGCTCTTTAAAACAGCCGGGCTGTATTAATTCCACGAAGCCTGACGAGAAATTTAAAAAACAAATGAGGCGCCAGCGGAGCAGAATTGCAAAGCAAAGGGGCAGAATTGCAAAGCGAAGGGGCAGAATTGCAAAGCGAAGGGGCAGAATTGCAAAGTAAAGGAGCAGAATTGCAAAGCAAAGGGGCAGAATTGCAAAGCAGAGGGGCAAAATTGCAAAGCAAAGGGGCAGAATTGCAAAGCGAAGGGGCAGAATTGCAAAGCAGAGGGGCAGAATCGCAAAGTAAAGGGGCAAAGTTGCAAAGCAACGGGGCAGAATTGCAAAGCAGAGGGGCAGAATTGCAAAGCAAAGGGGCAAAGTTGCAAAGCGAAGGGGCAGAACTGCAAAGCAAAGGGGCAGAACTGCAAAGCAAAGGGGCAGAATTGTAAAGAAACGAGGCAGAATTGCAAAGCAGCAGGGCAGAATTGCCAAGCCAAGGGGCAGAATTGCAAAGCAAACACTTGGGMAGCCCGCACCGAGGAGCCGGGAGCYGCRGCCTCCCTWCACGGAGCCACACGCAGTAGAGGCCAAGCTGCTCGCAGAGACTTAATGCTCTTAATAATTGATGGGCAATTAACGGCGCGCTCACCTGGCAGCGCCAAATTCCCTGCCCGCCCCCCCTGCGCGGCCCCTTCTAATATTAGCTCAGCCCCCGCGCGCCGCCCGTCACAAACGGAGCTTTCTTAAATCAACGTGAATTATTTAAGGCTACAGATTGAGTTCATTTGAAGCAGAAGCTGCTGCCTTTCAGGACGGCACAAGAGATAGGGGAAGAGGAGGGCAGCCCCGACGGCCCCTGCATCAAATCCCGGCCTTTTTCTCTTGTTTTCTCTTAAGATTCCCCTCTTGCCCAGGTTTGCCAGGCTCTCCCCTGCAGAGCGAGTCATTCGTGCTACCCTAAGGATCCCTGGCAGCTGGAAACATCTGCATTTGGCAGCTTTTTCTGCTCTTTGCAGAGTCTGATCGCAAAACAAAAAGGCTCCGGCCTCGGAAAACCCGTTTTTCAATATTTATTGGTACTCCCAAGCTGCAATGGGAACACTGGGAATCATGGATGTTTGGCTTCCAGTTGAGCTTGCATCTCTGTAAACTGCTTTTCCCTGCTCCTAAARCAACGCACAGAGTCAGAGTATCCCTTTGGAAGAAGAGAGCAATGGAAAAGGGATCGTTTGCTTCCACCTAGGCGCTCCCTCATGAAAAAGTTAGTGTTTCCACAAACCCACACGCTCTGCTGGGAACGTTTCCACTGCCAGAAAGCGAAAGAGAAACATCCAAGGAGCCGAAGGCAAATCCCAGCTCTCTTCAATATTGGATGCACGGAGCCCACAGAGGCTGGGCGGGATCTTTGCTGGCCCCTCTGGAAATGCCAAAGGCCCCTTTTCCAAGGGATTCCCAGGGGGATTTTGCCGCGGTTGGCCACGAAAGCCATTAATCTTCTCCGGAGACTCCATGTCCTTGCTGCTTATCCGGCTGGGAATCTTATCTAAACTGGCTCAGGTGGCAAGGCTGCGAGAGGGAGGTAATTAAGCGAGAGGCAGGTAAAGCGCTGGCATTATTATTACTTAAATGGCCCCAACCTTTTACCTCCTGTGTTTTCTGTTTGTGTTTTCCTACCACTGGCGACAGCTACCAAGGGAGAAATCTGTTTGTTTGCAGGTTATCTCCGCTATCCACGCGCCCCATCCCACCCCATAAATCTCCTTTAACTGGCTCCTTTGGCAGGGCAGAGAAATAATGAAGGCGACAGGGGCCGGACCGGGGAGGTTATTGCTGGAATGCAGCCTCCTGCTTCATTCCGGTGCCGCYGAAATGCAGCCCGGGGAAAATCAGTTTGCAAGATAACCTCGCCGAGCTGCAAGTGGCAGGAAGCAACGGGCTCCGGCGCGGCAACCTTGCAGAGCGCGTGGCAGCCTCCGAGGGGCTCTTAAGCCCGCAATTTACCTTTTTACTACGTCCTCTTTTCTCCAAAATCCTTTATTTCCCTCTTATTTGTTGCCTGGGGAGCCAGCGCGAAACCRAGGCAGTGATTCTCCAGCCGCCGCTCTTCAAGATCCGTAGAAGAGAATTGTTCCCAGGAGGGCAGGATTTGTGGGTTTGGGTTGGGATTCTTCTAGGGACTGTGCAGGGATGTCCCTGTGTCCCCAACTAAGGACTCATGTTGGTCATGGGCACCGGGCGAGCGGGGAAAAGCAGGCAAGCAGGGAAAAAGCATGGGAAAATGTGGGTTTTGGGGAAGAGTATAAATACATCTGGTGAAATAAAGTGGCCGCGAGTGACACACACTGCCTCCTTGCAGTCCCTCCGGACGAGCCCGTCATTCTGGGYGGGCCGGTGATCAGCCTGCGGGCCGGGGACCCCCTCAACCTCACGTGCCGCGCCGACAACGCCAAGCCGGCGGCCTCCATCATCTGGCTGCGCCGAGGCGAGGTCGTCAACGGAGCCACCTACTCCAAGGTGAGGCGGGACGCACGGCGGGCTCTGCCGTTCCCGGGACGCTCGCCCAGCCCGGTGCAGCCCCCGCGGTGCCATCGCCTCCCTCCGCGCCCCTTTGTGCCCCTGCAGACGCTGCTGCGCGACGGCAAGAGGGAGAGCATCGTGAGCACGCTCTTCCTGGCGCCCTCCGAGCTGGAGAACGGCGAGCGCGTCGTGTGCCGCGCCGCCAACAAAGCCGTTCCCGCCGGCAAGGAGACGGCCGTCACCATCGACATCCAGCGTGAGTGGCCCCGCTGCTGCCCGCAGCGCCCCTGAAACCAGCCCGGCAGCCTCAGTGCCAGCTCAAATCCCTGCTTAAGGCTTCACGGGGCCCGGTGAGGAGGACCCTTTCCCTCCTGGGAATCCCTGGATGGGATGGCACCTGCATGGATGGATGTGATCCCGGGTGCGGAGATGCGGCAGGTTGGGCTCCCCTCGACCTCCAGATGCACCGGCCGCACTCAGCCCCGTGGTGAAAGAGCCGAGACAGCAGCACCCTTCCCTGCCCAAATCCCATGGGAAACGGCTGGGAAAAGAGCCCGGAGCGCGAGGCGYGGAGCCGGAGCAGCGGCTGCAGTGGAACCGCTGAGCAGCTCCAGCTGGAACATCTGTTGGATGCGATTTCCGTTCCGGCAGCCACATCAAAGCCGGCCTCCCGCGAGCCGCGCGCCCGACATCACAAGTGGGATTAGAGCCGCGTTTAATAGTCGGATAGGCCATAAACTATTGATGCTGCCGGAGCCCGGGGCAGAGCCGAGGCCCCCGCGCGTGCCCGGGGCGGCTCCTTTTTACCTCTTTTGCACCTTTTTCCCCCAAGAGGAGGAAGGATTCGGCCACGGCAGATGGCTTGTTGCAGGAGGTGACCCCGGAGAGGTGCAAGAGGCACCGGGCGCTGTGGCCTCCCGCACCTGCTGCTCCCTTGGGAAGYACAGGCCCCCTTGGGACGAGGGGGGCATCCGAGCTGGGAATTCCCTCAAACCTGGGGCAGGAAAACTGGGACCAGCTGCCGTGTCCCATGGGCTGTGCCCGCTCGTGCCTCACGGCCCCGTCTCCCCGCAGATCCGCCGCTGGTCAACCTGTCYGTGGAGCCGCAGCCGGTGCTGGAGGACAACACGGTGAAGTTCCACTGCTCGGCCAAGGCCAACCCCGCCGTGACCCAGTACAGGTGGGTGGGCACCCCAGGGAGCCCCTTTGGTGGCTCTCATTGAGCTGGGGGCATCCCAGTTCCCTTCCCAAAGATTCCCGGGCTYTTCGCCCGCGCTGGTGCCTCTGGGTGTCCGCGCTGCGAAGGATGCGGGACCTTCCTCCCGGCTCGAGGCGCTTTCAGGGTGTTCCAGGGTGTTCCAGGCTGGGGATGCAGCTCCCAAAGGAGCCCCCAAGGGCCCTGGGGAGCACGCAGGTCCCGCGCTGCCCTCGCCTGCATTGCGCTGCACTCGGAGCTGCGGAGCGATGGATGCAGCCAGGAAGAGGCTGCTTGGCTAGGGAAGGGCTCCTGGGAGAAGGACCCCCCGTTTCATCTAAAAACACCCRGGAGAGACGAGTTTATCTTCTTTTATCACATCGTTTTTCTTCCTCTCATTGCTCCCTGCAATACCCCCTTGGAAGCTCGGATTCAATTGCGACCGATTGAGAAAGGGGTCTGGAAGCTGCTCTGCCATTCCCGCCGGAATTCCTCCGGGAACCGCCCTTCTCTCCACCCAGACCGTTGGCATCCGCATCTTTTTTCCCTCCGCGGGCCGCTTCCCGCGCTTGCCCTCCCTTCCCCCAAGCAGCAGTTGGAGATTCCCGCCGGCTGACAGCGTCTCCCGTCTTTTCCCACCCGCTCCGGAGCGGCAGCTTGCCAGATGGTGCCCCATTAGGTCACATTTGCTCCCTGTTTGGCAAACAGCGGCGCGATGCGCGTGCCGAGTTGACAGCTTGCTCTCCGAGACAATTTGCACGTTGCAAGCGCCGCAAATGCCACCCTGGCTTCTCGGCGGGGCTGTGATTGCAGCCGCCTTCAAGGCATGAACGTTTCCCGGGATGGGAAGGAAAAGAAGAGCCGGGAAAGGGTGGAATCGGGGGGGAAATGAAGGAGGTTTTAGGGGTTTTAGGGAGGAAGGAGCAGCAGCGTTGGTTGGGGTGGAAGGACAAGTGGCAGCTCTGTCCTGGCACTGTGTTCTCCACCTTCCGAGCCCTGCTCGTCCCCATCCCTCCCATGGCCAAGGCTGGTTTTTATGAGGAAACAGCAATTTGGGTTCATTCTGAGAAGGTTTCAGAGGGCTGAGAAGGGCCGAGGCCCGTGTGCTGCCTCTGCGAGGAGGAGGAGGAGGCTGAAGACGAGCGCAGCGGCCTCAAAGCAGCGCAAATCCGGACGATCCCGCTTCATTTCCCGTCCCCCAGGTGGGCGAAGAAAGGCCAGGTGATAAAGGAAGCGTCGGGCGACTTCTACGAGACGGTCGTGGACCACACGTTCTTCTTCGAGCCGGTCTCCTGCGAGGTGACCAACGCGCTGGGCAGCACCAACATCAGCCGGACCGTGGACGTCTACTGTGAGTGCCCGGGCGCCGGGCGGGCGCGGGGCAGCGCCGGGGCGGCGCGTGGAGGCAACGCCGCGCTCCTCCTCGCCGCAGTCGGGCCCCGCATGGCCACCGAGCCGCAGTCGCTGCTCGTCGACCTGGGCTCCGACGCCGTCTTCGACTGCGCCTGGAGCGGGAACCCGTCCCTCACCATCGTCTGGATGAAGCGGGGCTCCGGCGTGGTGAGTGCCACCGCGCGCTGACGCCCTCCTCGGTGCCAGGGGGCCCAGCGGGGCCCTGGGGAGCTGAGCTCTGCCCTGCAAGCARCTCTGCCCTTGCAGAGCCCGGGCTTAGGCGGCCCGTGGCAGGGAGGGAAGAGCGCCGGGATCCCCAGGGATGCACCTGTATTCACCACAAGGGTGTCTATTCCAAGTGGGAATGCCCTGGGAGAACCCCCCTCCCGGGATTTTCCTTGGGAAAACCAGGGCATGAAGGAATCCGGGGGAGCAGCAGCCCCTGGGCACCTTCCCGTCTCCTGGCGGGCACTGCCAGCACCTCGGKGCTCTCTCTTGGGGCTGGAGGGCACTGAGGGCGGGAAGGGGCCCGGCAGCGGGGACGGGGACAGGGATGGGGACGCCGCCGGTGACGGCACCTCCCGGCCCTCCTGCAGGTGCTGAGCAACGAGAACAAGCTGACGCTGCGGGCGGTGCGGCAGGAGGACGCCGGGCGCTACGTGTGCCGCGCCGTGGTGCCGCGCGTCGGCGCGGGCGAGCGCGAGGTCACGCTCACCGTCAACGGTACCGGCCGCGCGCACGGCTTGCTCTGCACCGCGGGGTCCGCTTCTCCGGGCGCATCCTCCTTAGCTGGAGCCTGGAGGATCCGCTTGCCTGGAAATGCCTTGGCACACTGGGAATGGAGCCCGGCTCCGGCACCAGGAGCCCAGCCACTCGGAGCGCGCACGTGCCACGGGATAACGGAAGGGAGTCCCCAACCCCATGTGAATAAACGGGCCCTGCYGCCCTAATATTCCAAGCTCCATCATTCCCATCCATAGCAGCRGGATCCGGAGTGCTCCAAGCGCCAGGCCGCAACTTGGTGCTGTTATTCCGGGGCACGTTCCTTTGGCAAATGGGCTGTCGTCGGAGGCTCTTAGGAGCAATAGGCTCCYGGAGCAATAATAAACCCCGAAGCCATTGGCGTCGGTGCCATTTAAAATCCACTCTCCTTGGGGAAAATGATCCCTTGGATGATTATTAAGGCATTTTTCTCCCAAGCGGCGCGYGGTCTCAGAGCACTCACGGAGCTGGCAGCCGATGCCCAGGAAAAGCAGCTTTTTGAGCTGCTGYGGCTCTCGCCTCCCTCGCAGGGCCGCCCATCATCTCGAGCACGCAGACACAGCACGCGCTGCACGGCCAGAAGGGGCAGATCAAGTGCTTCATCCGCAGCACCCCGCCGCCCGACCGCATCGTGAGTAGCCCCCGCAGCCCCTCGGGCACGCGGCTCCGGCCGGGCCACCCTCGAGGCACCCCGTAAGCTCCCCCTGCTCAGCAGGCCTGGTCCTGGAAGGAGAACGTGCTGGAGTCGGGCACATCCGGGCGCTACACGGTGGAGACGGTGAGCACCGACGAGGGCGTCATCTCCACGCTCACCATCAGCAACATCGTGCGTGCCGATTTCCAGACCATTTACAACTGCACCGCCTGGAACAGCTTCGGCTCCGACACGGAGATCATCCGGCTCAAAGAGCAAGGTGAGCGGGGCCCGCCTTGGGAAYGGGGCACGGAGAGGGGCAGTGGGCTCGGAAAAGCCCTCAAGCTGGGGGGCTTGCAGCAGCTCTGCCGCTGGGGCGGCTCCTGGCATCTCCCGTCTCCCTGGAAAAACCAGGAAGGGCTTTTCCTGCCCGGGCTCTGGGCACGGGCAGTGGGACAGAGGCAGCGGCTCCCGGGTCGCTGCTCCCGGGTCCCTCCATGCCCAGGGCCGTCGCTCCGGGCGCACCGTGCGGCTCCTGGAGGCTCTCCAGGGCTCGCCCGCTTTATTAAATGCCAGGGCAGGCAGGTGGATTGTTCTCATTAAGCTGTGATTTATAGGCGAGGCCGCCGTCCAGATTAGATCAGCGCTAAATGAACCCCTTAAAATTAGCCTTGGGCTCCTTCCAAGGCAAACAGAGCCGGCGGGTTCTGCGGGTCCTGTGCCAGGTGGCATGCACGGCCGGGAGCGCGGCCCCGCRCGGTGCCCGGGCAGCTGCCCGGGGCGCCCGGGAGCGGGGCCGTCCCCTCGGGGTCCCGCCACGCCTGCTTTGTCCCCACACAGGTACGGAAATGAGATCAGGAGCTGGTATGCACGCAGGTACGGAGACAGGGAGCTGCCGGAGAGCGGGCCCGGCCCCGGCGGCGCCCGCAGCGCGTGCCCCCC